CCACTCATAATGATCCGAAAGGATGGCGTCAAACAGTTCCTGTGGCTTTCTGAGATTATAACTTTATCTGGATTTAGAAAGCCTTGTCTTTCTTCTGTGGAGCAGTGGGTGCTTTCCAACTGCTGACTTAATGGTTAATAGCTCAATGCATCACCACCACCATCAGCACCAGGGCTCCTAGCTCTACGACTGAAATGTGTCTCACTACTTAGAGTGTTGATAAATGGCCTTTGATTGGTTGTGTTCGGGTTTCATTGCCTATGAGTGAATTTCAGTAAATTCTACCCATGGGCCTCTTCTTTCTCTTTCTTTAGAAACTGAGGTTAGTTATTTCCAAACAAAAAGAGAAGCACTTTCAAGGAACATTTTGACCACAGATTTGAGTGACATAGACCAAGAAGTAAAAAAAGCATTGCTTCTAGGTTTCCAATTCGTACCTGCATTTACCTGGGTTTATTTCAAAATGTGTTAAAATGTGGGGTTTTTTTGTAATCAATGGATGGCCACAGACTAGTTTTCTCAGCAATACACGGTCCTCTTCTTGTGGTGAGGAGCTATGGGGCTGTAGATGTTACACAGTGGGCTGGGATCTACACGGTAGGTAGTTTGAACAGCAGGAGAAAGACTGGGCTGTCTACTCCTGTCAATAGTGACAGTCTTGGAAACCCACAGGGGGTCATGATGGGTCAGCATCGACCCAATGGCAGGTGAGTTTTGAGTACAAACCTGGACAACTTTATTAGAAATACTCTGTGTTCAGAGAACCAAGAACAGCAGACGTCCTGAGATTAACATACATGTCAGCCACATCCAGAGTCCTTCCAGACATCGATTCATGGCTCCTTGGGGGTATGGCAGGAGAGATTGGGGGAACATGGGGAGCTAATAATGATGAGTTCCGGAATGAAGAAAATGTTCTAAATGTTGATGATTGTACAACTCTTCTTGGTGTGATTGAGCTATTGAATTGTATGACACGTGAATTGTATGCCAATTGGTGGGTGGGGGTGGGGAGAAGTATCCAAAGTAAAACAAGCCTACAAGATTGAAAGTAGGGACCAGAGAAATTCATTTGTAATGAAGAGAATTACAACGTGCAAACAGGGAAGTGTAGGCACTCATCTTCCAAACAGAGAGGAAGTAGATTTAACTTAGGTGAATGGGGAAGGGGAGGCAACAGATGCTAAAAGGAAGTTTGCCTCCCACCCTCAAACAAACAAAAACCACACACACACACACAACACACACACACAAAACGAGATAGAGGCAGGAGAAGAGAAGACACTGGAGGAGTGCTAAGTTTGAGGCAGTGGAGGTAAAAATTGTTACATACACAATCTTTCAATAATGGTGATATGTGAGTAGATGCTTGGATAGGCATGCAGACTGAATAGAAGTCGGGGTAAATCGGGGATACACCCACATTACTATATAGGAGGCTTTCTACTCCTATAAAGAGTTACAGACTCGGAAACCCACAGGGGCGGTTCGGTTCTGTCCTACAGGGTCACCACGAGTCAAAATCGATTCAAGGCAGTGAGTTTAAGTTCTATGTATGTATGAGTATACTCCCAGTCTCCCACACACACCAAAATTCAGTCTGCATGCCCTGGTGGTGTAGTGAGCTGCTAACCAGAAGGGCAACAGTTTGAAACTCCCAGACACTCTGCGGGAGAAAGATGAGGCTTTCCGCTCTGCGGGAGAAAGATGAGGCTTTCCGCTCCTGCTAAGATTGCCAGGCTTGGACACCCGCAGCAGGGCAGCTCTCCTCTGTCCCACAGGGCTGTGTTGAGTGGGAATCACTTGACAGCAGTGAGTTTGGGCTTGGGATGCCTCTTTGTTATCGATGTGGAGGGGCGCACAAGGGGCAAAGCTACGTGAACTTCTGAGACCTCATCAGACTCTGTGAGAGAATGAGTCACCGGGGCTTAGGGCTCCCATGCACAGGCTCAGAGGGCCTCAAGGTCAATTACATAACGTCATCCACAAAGACAGGGCTGTACGTCGTGCTTTGGTGAGCCGTGACTGGGGTCTTCAAAGCTCATCAGGCGTAACTACTGGCCGACCCCAGGCTGGAGGAAAGAAGAGTGGTGAAAACGGAAGGATCGTGAAAACAATCAACCCAACAGGCTGACAGTCAACGCCAACATCAGCCTTCATGACTCTGAGACAAGAAGAGCTACCTGTTGCCTGGCTACCACTAACTGCTCTGAAAGTGACCCCATTAGAATGTGGTGGCAGTTCCATAATCTCCTGTCAGCTTTCAAAGGGGTGGAGTCTAGTCTGTCAATCAGGTCTCAGCTTGATGACCTCATTTGGAAGCGCGACAGAGATAAATAGCTCACTGGAGGCCAGACACACTCTGCTTCGTTGTCCTGCTGACAAGACACTTGGAGCTACGCTGATGGAGCCAGAGCCCTGGAGCTGGAGGAGCCACGTGGAGACCCACACCAGCACTGAGATGCTTCCACCACCACTGAATCCACAAGATTTTCCACCACTGGCCTGTGATCTTCCTGCATTTGGCAGCATTGCATGTACTGCATGAGTCTGAAAAGGAATTTATAGGCTGGTATCAGATATATGGGCTAATAGCGGATTTATGGACTTGATCTGGACTAGGCCTGGATGTTTTCTTAATCTACAATTACTCTTTGAAATAAAGCTCTCTATTACACATATATGAGTGTCTCTGGGGTTGTTTCTTTAGTCAACCATGACTAACACAAACATCCCAGATCTAGTGGGAGAAAAATGTGGAACAAAACTCAAAATCATAAAAATGAACGAGCTTATTGGTTCAGATTGAGGAAGTTCAACTCTCAGAGATTATGACTCTTAGTCACCCTCCAGGTCTGGAGCTCACTCTGGCAGTTCCATTTCCAGACAAACAACCCAAAAGTCGCTACAGGAAACAAAAATGTGAGAGCAGTTCATGTACTTTATCAGCCGTTTGAGGTCAACAGGGCAGCATTGACCCAAAGACAATATTCAGGAGAAGGGTTAGGAAAGGAGATGAAGGAGAAAACAACGGGACCAATGGTTCCAGGGGGATGTGGGAGGGGGAGGCGGGGGAAAGGAAGTGGTGTTAACAAACCCAGGGACAAGGGAACAAGAAGTGATCCAAAATCGGTGCCAAGGAGGGTGGCAGGGCTTGATCAAGGGCAATGTAACCGAGAGGAAGTACTGAAACCCAAAGGAAGGCTGAGCATGATAGTGGGACAAGGGGAAAGCAAAAGGAAATAGAGGGAAGAACGAGGAGGCAATGGGCATTTACAGAGGTCTAAATACAGGCATGTACATATGTAAATATATTTATATATGATGATGGGGAAATAGATCTATGTGCACGTATTTATAGGTTTCGTATTGAGGTAACAGTGGACATCGGGCCTCCACTCAAGTACTCCCTTAAAGCAAGAACACTTTGTTCTATTAAATTGGCATTCCATGATGCTCACCTTCCCACCAAGCTCACTGAAGACAAATGTGTGCATAAGCATATGTGGTGAAGGAAGCTGATGGTGCCAGGCTATCAAAAGATATAGCATCTGGGGTCTTAAAGGCTTGAAGATAAGCAAGCAGCCATCTAGCTGAGAAACAACAAAGCCCACATGGAAGAAGCACACCAGCCTGTGTGATAATGAGGTGTCAAAGGTATCAGGTATCAGTCATCAAAGAACAAAAAATCATATCACTGTGAATGAGAGGGAGTGCAGATTGGGGACCCAAAGCCCAGTGTATGAATTGTTGAATGTAGAACTGATGATCTTCTCTGTCAACTTCACCCAATTTACATATACGAGGGGGTACCCCAAAACCCGGAATTGCATTGGGTGGAGTGGAGCTTTTGTAGTACGCATTTTTCCCACAAGGTGAGCATTGAGTAACTCACTCTGAGTTAGTGCACCCAGTGGCATCCTCTGGGAAGGTTCTCTCTGGTCACAGTGAATTTTTTTGTAAAGCAGTCTCACGTGAGCCTTTTTTTTTAACCTCGTTTTGTGATGGTTAATTTAAGAGAACAGTGTGCTTCTGTGAAATTTTGTTTCCTGCTTGGGAAAAATGCCGCAGAAACTGTTGTGATGTTGAACACGGCTTACAAGGACAGTGCTATGGGAAAACCTCAAGTGTACGAGTGGTTTTATTGTTTCTCAAAAGGTGAAATGTCGATTGGTGAACAACCTCGTTCTGGATGTCCGTCAATGTCCTGAATGGACGGAAATGTTGCCTCGGAGTGTATTTGGAGTTTGTTTCACCAGGTCCGACTTTTAATCAAGCTTCTACAAGAGGTGCTGAAAAGATACAGTGTGCAACAAAAAAGGCCCGATTTGTGTCAGATGGAGGACTGATTTTGCCACCATGACAATGTCAGCCATCTCACTGTGTCAGTTTTGGGCAAAGATCAACATGCCTCTCTTGCCACATGCACCTGACTCATCTGACCTCGCTCCCTGAGACTTCTTTTTGTTTTCTCGAATGAAGAGTGACATGAAAGGACAGTGATTTGTCGACATAGAAGAGGTGAAGAAAAAAAACAAGGGAGGTGCTGTCAGCCATCCAAACAGATGAGTTTGAAAATGCTTCCAAGAATGAAGTTACAGATTTGACAAATGTATTAAGTGTAATGGAGAGTGCTTTGAAGGTGATAAGGTTATTTTTTGTGTGTTTTTAAAATGAAATACATAGTTTTTTTTGGGGGGAAAATCTTTTGGGGAGTTCCCCCTCGTGTGTGTGTGTGTGTGTGTGTGTGTAAAGACAAGATCAGAGAGAAGACAGAGCCAAGGTCTAGGGATATTCATTTTTTTCCCCTGAAAGGTCTCCCCTAGCACCCACTCAGTCTCGGCCGGGTGTAGTGAGAGCCTGGCTGCTGGGGAGGGGCTGTTCCCCTTCCTGTGGGGTGGCTCACATGACAGCCTCATTCTTAAAGTATCCACATCTTGGTGTCTTTGAGCACTGCTGTCCCACTCATCCGCCCAGATAAATACAGACAGAGAGAAGACATGACAGCCATCCTAACCTTCCTCCTTTGCTTTGGTGAGATCTGAAGAGGGGAGGGGACGTTAATCCAGGAGGGACCCCTGACTCACAGCTGGATCTTCTCTGTCCCCAGGCATCAGGAGGCAGAAGGAGGGGAGAGGAAGCGCTCAGACATTGAGGACAACTCTCTCACTGGGTTCTCTCTTCCAGGGCTGAGTCTGGGCCAGAAATTCCAAGCACAGGCTGGTGCGTCCTGCCTGGTTTCCCGGATAGTGGTTCTGGGATCGTGGGTGTGAATCTAGTTGGGCTTGAGGGTTGAGGATGTAAGGAACCGAGGTTAGTAATAAATGCTGCTAAAATCGACTGTACTTTCCTTCCACTATCTCCCTAAACCCACTATCTGGGTTGAGCCAGGGTCCATGATCTTCCAGGGGAGACCTGTGACCATCTGGTGTCAGGGCTCCCTGGAGGCGAAGGAATACCTTATGGTTAGAGAGGGTGGCCAAATGCCCTTGGGCAGACAGAACCCACACTATGATGCCAATTGCAGGAGGAAAGCCGAATCAGTGAACATGTAAGCATCTCAGCGCTGGCAGGGGCCTCCACATGGCTGTTCCAGCACCCAGGGCTGCATCGGGGTAGGTCCATGTGGCTTCTTCTTGGGGATGTCTTGCAGGAAATGAGCCTTGCCAGCTGAAGCAGGGAACTGGCTAAGACAACTGCACCCTGGTCCGACCATCACAAAGCAAGAGACCCGAGAACTAGAATGGCGAGGCTCACCGAGCCATTTATCCCTCCGTCCTTCAATTAACCTCACATGTGTTTATTGGCCAGGTTGGTACAATAAACTAACCTCACCCTCCAGTGTGGCTCAGGGTTGGGGTCTGGCAGCTTCATTCTCTAGGAGGAAGAACATGAACGATCCTGGATCCTAGACTCACAGCAGCGCTCCAGTGGGCTTCTTCAGGCTGTGTTTTTCATGGGCCCTGTGACCCCCCAGCCACAGATGGACGTTCAGATGCTATGGACAACAATCCTCACCTGTGGTCCAACCCCAGTAATGCCCTGCAGCTTCTAGTCTCAAGTGAGGAATTCATGGTCTTGCCCTTGATTGATTTAGGGCAGCGGTTCCCAACCTTCTTAATGCCTCGACAACTTTGATACAGTTCCTCATGTGGTGGTGATCCCGCAACCGTAACATTATTTTCGTTGCTACTTCATAAATGCCATTTTGCTATGGCGATGAATTGTCATGTAAATACCTGATAGGCAGAATGTCTTTTCATGGTTACAAATGGAACATAATGAAAGCATCAGGGTGAATCACAAGAACCATATGTCATTCTATATTGCGACACATTTATTTCTAATGACAAAGAGATGACAAGCACAGCGCAGCATGGGTCACAGTCTTCACGCCACTGGGTACTCCTAGGTGGGTGTATGTGCGCGTGGGCGGACCCGCCTGGAGACGGATAAATGAGTGGTGTCTCGGTTCTTAGGACCATGGGAAATATGTGTTTTCCGGTGGTCTTAGGCCACCCCTGTGAAAGGGTCTTTCAACCCCCAAAGGGGTCTCGACCCACAGGTTGAGAACCGTGATTGAGGGCTTGCGGCCAAGGAGAAGGATGGGAGGAGGGGAGCACATGGATGCTAGGTTGGAATGTTGAAGGAATGAACACAGTGGTTCAATGATAGGTTCAAACATAACAGAGGTGGGGGCGGGGACGAGCACAGGACGGTCAGGGTTTTGTTCTGTTGGACGCAGGGTCGTCGCTGTGAGTTGGAACCATCACCACGGCAGCCAACAACAGCAACAACAAGATATTCCGCCAATAGAAGCTTGCTTCCGTTGGTCTTGATCCAATGGCCCCAGGTTCCGTTCCATGGGAGGTTCACGTTCTGAGAAAGCCTTTTTCACAGCTGGGCCTGGATTCCCCAATTTTAATATGGGGACATGATTGGCAAGGACCCCCTGTTGAAGAACGCGCATGATTGAGAAGGTCCTGTCAGCCTGTGCGCACCAGACTCCACTGCCAACGCAGAGGTCAGGACCTTTGGCTCCTGTATTGATGGAGGGGAGGGGGCAAGGATGCTGCACTCCCACAGTGGGCAGGGAAGACACACTCCAGCTATGACATCTCTTTACATCCCACCAGCTAGCATCAGTCCTGGATGGTGACGGATAACTAGCCTCAGAAAAGACAGGGTCCTTCCATTTACTCCTGGTGACTTGAGAATCAGAGACAGGTGTGACTCGCCCGCATCAATTAGCGTAGCTTCTGTGGGCAAGTGTGAACTTTCCAACTTCTCTTGGCCACTGGGACTTTCTTATGGATGTGCTGCGAGGTGTGAGGAGTAACAGATTAAGGAGCTCAGGATGGGGTTCAAGGGGGGGAGGAGAAGCGCTCTAGAGAGACCAGGTGAAAGAGCATCAGGATAACAGGCAGGTCATGCGGAGGGTTCGTCCAATTGAGGTCAATCAGAGTAGAGAGCGTCAAGACCGGTTCCGATGCCTGCAAGTCCCTGGTGGCATCAGTTCTTGTCCCATAGAAGCAGGCTCCCCAACAGTTAAGCCGCTGGAACTCTGTGAATGCTTACAATAGAAGTTCTCAACCTGTGGGTCGCAACCCCTGTGGGGGTCGAAGGATCCTTTCACAGGGGTCGCCTGAGACCATCGGAAAATACATACAACGAAGCGATGTAGTTTACTGTTGTTATCAACTGCAGTAAACTATTAAGACTCTTACCCATGCTACACGACAAAATTGTATTGATTTGTCATTAGAAATAAATATTTCACAGTATATAATTACATACTGTTCTTGTGATGAATTACTATGCTTTCATTATGCTCAATTTGTAACCATGAAAATACATTCTGCAGATCAGATATTTACATGACGATTCATAACATTAGCAAAGTGACATTTATGAAGTAGCAACAAAAATAATTTTATGGTTGGGGTCACCACAACATGAGGAACTGTATTAAAGGGTAGTGGCATTAGGAAGGCTGAGAACCACTGGCTTAGACAATGTTGCATCTTCACGTACACAGATCAAGTACGCTTACCTTAAAGAATGTTTGCTGCTCTTGTATGTTTTATACTCCCCTTGAAGTAGTCCCTCTGTGTTAGTCTGGGTTGACTGAGAAACAAATTCATAGACACTCATGTGTATAAGAGTTTTATATACAAGCACAATGGAATATTGAAGAAACATCTGAGCCCAGTCCAGATCAAGCCAATACGTCTGATATTAGCCCATATGTCCCATACCAATCTATAAAGTCCTCTTCAGACTCACGCAACATATGCAATGACTCTGACTTCAGGAAGATCACAGGCCAGTGGGTAGAAAAGTCTTGTGGATCCAGTGGCAGCGGAGGCAGCTCATGCTGGCAGGGGTCTCCACGTGGCTCCTCCAGCTCCAGGGCTCTAGCATAACTCCATGTGTCTTGTCAACAGGAATGTCTCACAGGGAGCGAGTGTGTGTTCCGCTTCCAGAGAGCTATTTCTCTCCTTAGGGCCTCCAAATGAGGTCATCAAGCTGCGACCTGATTGACAGGCTAAGCTCCACCCCTTCACTCTTAAGTCTCCAGTTGACACCAGCTTATGTAACTACCACACCCTCTGAATGCCTGGAATACCAAGACTAGTACCTTGCCCGTTTGTCTGATGGATATGGTTTATGAGAGGCTGGCATGTCTCAAGAGTTACCAAAACCCATTGTTGAGTAAACTCTGGGCTCTTCTTCCTGCTTCTCCTGAGAATGGAGTTGAGTCCCCTGTGCCCCCTCTTCAGGCTTCCTCAATTGCAGGTGTCGCTCCTTGGTCTCGTTCGACTGTGGGCTGGACCCCCACAATTTGACACCACGAGGCTCTCAGGCCCCAGGCCCTCGAGGCTTAAGCTGGTCTGGAAATTGACAAGGATCAAGACAATCCTTGTCTGGGCATCGCTGAGCTTTTCATACAGCCGTGCTGAGGGGTGGTTTTTGGGACATTGCACGTGCTCCAAGCAGAAAATGGTGCTCAGAGAGCATTGTAAAGTTGATTGTGGTAGCTATAGTTAGGTTAAAATGTCATCGCTTCTCATTTGATCTCCTTTTTGATCCATTTTAAAGTTGTGTCCAATTAAAAAAAAAGCGAAGGGCAAATACACATGGGTTAAGCCTCTGGTAAATCCCCTCTGACTATAGACCTGTCAATAGGTCACAGCCTGATGGCACTTCTTTGTGGTCATGACCATCTCATCAAGAGGGTCTTGGGAAACTCCTTCCTCTCTCTCCGCTTCACTTTCCTGTTGATGAGCCACTTCGAGCCATGCTGATGGCAGCCCGAGCCCTGGAGATGCGTCCACCACCATCGGACCGACAAGACCCTGCACTCACTGCCCTGTGATCTTCCTGCATTCTCTATCGTTGCATGTGGCTGCATGAGTCTGGAGAGGGACTTATGGACTAGTATCGGACTTATGGACTAGTATCGGACTGATGGACTAGTATCGGACTTATGGACTAGTATCGGACTGATGGACTAGTATCGGACTTATGGACTAGTATCAGACTTATGGACTGGCTGGGATATTTGCTTGACATATAATTACTTGGTCATGTAAAGTTCTCTCTTATACATATATGAGAGTCCCTGGATTTGTTTCTCTTGTCAACCTGGTCTAACACACGTGTCCTACTGAAGAATCTGTATGAACTGATCTGATGATGGGCATGTTGGCAGGCCATCTGAGGGATCTCAGGGAATTTCCCTGGAAGAGGATCAAAGAAAGTCTGCCATCTCCTTAGTCACACACAACCTATTGTCTGATCCATCTAGTCCTTTCAAGGTTGGTGAAGAAGACTGCTGGGAAGAGGACAGGCCAGGTCGGCACACGACACGGACCCTCTACGACAAAGATACAAGGGACCAAAAAGAAACTGATGTAGACACAACCCTGGAACCCCAAGCTTCAGAAGAAAGTATTCAGACGTGGATGGAACACCAAGAAGAAGCAGAAGAAAAGTGACAAGAGAGGAGGCAGAAGGGTGCACTGTCAGCTAGTCAGAAAGCCTGTGGTCATCTTGAACTTTTTCCAAGGCTGGGAAGGAAGATGGGATGGAAAGAGGAAACCCAAGGAGGGTGTGGGAGAAGTGATGCTACATTGAGGAGTCTGCAGTCCATGAGATGAAACAAAATGCGTATGGATTGAAGAATGTTGATCTATTCATGAATCTTCACTTAATAATATATATACAGTGAACCCTCGCCACTTCGCGCTTCGACTTCCGCGGCTTCACTCTATCGCGGTTTTTG